CTCGAAACACCCCATGGCTGGTGAAGCCATCCAAACAAAACTAACGTGATTGATATCAGTGGGAAAGGCCTAAAGATTCTGGTTATTCGGACACAGGCGTAGTTTTGCAAAATGTGCTGAAAGAGAGGGAAGCAGGAGAAAATGACGCAGCATATCCACAAAATGCACATAAGCGGATTTCCCGATGGATTCGACCCTTCTCTTCACCAAAGTTGGGACGGGAGCTCCAGCCCGTTCTTCCAACAAAACAACAAACCCAAGGAGTGGAGGAAATGAGTTTCGTACCGTCATGGTGATTGGGTGTTTTTCTATCGTACTGGGCCTAAGAGAAGTGAGTAGGTAGTACTTTAACACGCGTCCGGGTGGCCGGCTAGATACCCTTCGCTCGGGTAGAGACGGGGTCCAGTTTGACCCTCCCTGAGATCTCGGGAACTGAGGAAGCTAGAGGTACCGAGTTTTGCAGGGTGTGTCGACCTGTAATGAACTCACTTGTGTCAAAGTTTGATATCCCTATGCCATGACCCTCGGGTCAAATAAGGTCAAACAAGGTCAAATTCCAAAATGGTCTCCAAAGCGCCCCCAGAACCCTAGATAAATGTATCTAAGCAAAGGCCACAAGCTTATTTGAGGTCAGTGACCTTATTTGACCTTTTGAATGTCCTGGTGACAAAATCATACAAGACTGCTGTGAGTTTTGCATTTGAATGAGCCCCAAAGATTACGCCAGGTAGCATGCTCCTAACAACAAAGTGTCGACCTGGGTCATCTCAGGTCAATGACCTATTCTGACCTCTTACAAGTCAATGAAAGGTGTATAATGCGGTTCCCGCCATTAATAAATTCGAAATGAGCACCGCAAACTATCCATACAGCAAGCCCTACAGTAATAAAACAGATCGGGTTTGACCTTGGTCTGACCTCCATACTTGACCTTAGGTCAACGTAATTAGCTCATTCAATACTTGTTTTACCTAAGAAACCATATCACAAATAATCAGGCTTCGTCAAACATCCCGTTGCTGCCTCAGATTGAATGATTCCCTAGAAATTGCCTTCGCTGAAACCGTGGCCTCACTCTGACATGCCATCGGTCAGCAACCTTACAAGGTACACCTCAATTTTTAGGTCAAGCGATCCGCTACTCAATTGTCTACAGCTATGCCAACTTTGGCACGGCTGCGCCGCGCCGTTCGGAAACAATTTTGGAAATACCATCGGGAGAGGGGGAGGGGGGTCAAATTGACCCTCCCTCCACCCGAGCGCGTGGTAAGTGACTGCGCCTATGTCGTTCATCGGCGACTGTTGAGAAGCGCGGTGTTTTGAATCGCCGAATTCGGAGGGAAGTGGGACGGCGAAGCGTGGTCGTGCACCAGAACCCGCTGGAGTCGGCAGCACGATACTCCTGTGGTGACAGATACACCCGATGGGCAAGACTGAGGCGTGAAAACGCCCGTGGGCTCGTCCGCGGTGTCGGCTTTCTACCAACTCCGTCCGCCTCACCCGCACCCCGGGAGGTCGCCCCCCCTCCCATGTATCGCGCTGCGCCCTGTCTCCCGCCTGCGGGACCGGTCATCACGCGCCCTGGGCTCGGCCACCTCGGAGGTGTGACCAGACTGTTAATCCGTGTGGTGCGAACATTGCATGTAACCATGTTTCCCGCTTCTTTTGAACGATGGAGGACACGCAAATATGTGGCGCCCGCGCCGGGGCGGAAGTGGCGACACTGGCGACTGCCAGGGCTCGTTGCTGGGGGTAACCAGTGCGTGTGGCGGCGCGCGGGCTTGATTGCTCAGCGAGTCGCCGCGATTGTTTTCGTACGCATATGCTGGAAGATCGTGATTAAGCCAGTCGAGCACGCTCGTGAAAGTGAGCTCAGAATAGTTCACGCATGCCCACAAGAATATCTAGTCCAGTCCCACCACGGCGGAGTGTTTTTAGGGATCGCCGTAATAAAAGAACATGGCGTGCTTTCTTAGGTTACAGATCGCGAGAACAGATCGCAGGCATAGGCAGGCATAGGTAAACATGCATCACGAAATTTCTATTTTTCTTAAGTGGAAACAATCCAATGGGATGAAAGAAACGTCACGGGATAGCTTGCAGTGGCAAGCCAGAACTGGAGAAGTGGCCAAGATCTGTACCTACTTCATCCAAACAAACCATTCGATTCTCCTTTCTTCTCCCGCGCTTCAGTGCTGCAACCGGTGCAGACGAAACCCCCACATACAGAAGTCGTGGCGTAGACCGGCTGTCCGCGGATCGGTGGTTCATTCCAAGAAGTGTGAAGGGACTCCACACGAGTGCTCCTGGTGGTTATGCGAAGCTGTAGTGCCTGCACTATGCGCGCGGAGCAGCACGCTGCACCACCGGCCGGCATCAGACCGCATGCTGACACTGTCTGCACCCGCTCCGGGCCTGCATTGACGCGGTCGGTCGCGTGGCGGCGCGTCTCTGTGCGCTCGCAGCTCGAGGGAGCGCGTCGTTCCGGAACGCTCGGCTTGTGACCCTCTCTCAGCGTCATTCGAGACAACCAGGACGGATGCCAAGCCAGGATAAGAAAACCCGCAACATCGGCACCCGGGACTGGCCGTCCTGCTACCCGCACGACGCACAGAGAGCAGAGCCCGTTTAAGAATTGTTAGATTTTTTAGTCATTTCGTACAGCTGTGTACAACCTGCGATATCATCACAATTCATTTTGTCAGCACGTGATCGAACCAAAAATCAGTGACTCGAGACACGCTTCTATGCATCATTCGAACCCATACATAATATAGCCATAGCGTTCAGACAAGCCAATACAATAGCAAAAATTACAAGAAATAACCGGCTACGCACAATAGACTGGGGTCGGCGGCAATTTGGCCGGCCGCGAAGCACCCGGGCCAAGCAGAGACGCGACAGAAGCAGCGCGACTCTCGGGAGTCGGCGGGTGGTCACCCGGACCCTGCATCGCCGTCACGAAGCAGGCCATACGTTCGGGAGCGGGGGGGGGGGGGGGGGGCACAGGCGACGGGCGCGGCGTGTCGGCATCATCACACCGCGGGGCGCGTGGCGGCCACCGCGCCCGGGGCCCGGTCTGCCCGGCGGTGGGTCGGATCCAGTCAGCCGGCAGCGAGCGTCTCGTGGCGGCTGCGGACGGGCGGCGACGGGCCGCCGCCGGCTGACCATCTGGCAGCCCGACACCTCAGCCAAGGCCGTGTCCAGCTGGTCGACGGTGCCGTTGCACGCTTCCTCGTCGGTGACCGGCTTGTACGCGCGGTAGCGGAGGCGCGCGCGGCGTTTCGGCGGGCGGCCGGCAGCGGCGCGTGGCGGCGGGGCAGCGCTGGCGGGCACCCTCTTTTGCGGGCACATAGGCGCTCAGCTCACACATAGCACGCGGGCCGCAAAAGCGACAGAAAAGAGACAGGCGGCATCGGAGAGAGGGGACAGGCAGAGGCGGCGGAGGCGGAGGGTGGGCGGGTAACGATTGGCGCCCGGCAGTGGGTCGTTCAGGCGCACGCGCCACTGGCAGAGTTGGCGGCAGGTGTCTGACAGCGGCCAGGCGGTCTGGCAGCCTGGCACATCGGAGGAGGTCGCGTCCAGCCCGTCAGAGGCGGTCCTAAACTCCTTCTCGTGCGCCAGATCGTCTGCAATCGCAGGCAGGTCGCGTCAGCCGGCAGATCGGTGCCGGCAGGACGACGGGCAGCTATTGTCCAGCACTCAGCCATCGTCAGTGGCCATCAATACGCGCAGAGTTAGACAGAGCAGCCAGTAATGACTCGATATCGAAGGACATATATTCGTCTCATTGAAGCAACCCCGGAAGTTGGGCCTTGGACACAAAAAAACAATAGGTCGACGGAAAACAAAATACTAATTAAATGTTTATTTCATGACCGTCGCGCGATTAACGAGCATTCTACATTTCCCTCCGCACATGCTCACTCGCAGGGACTAGACATTAGCTCCAGACCGAGTGGTCTCCCCATGCTTCACTTTAAAGGGCGCCGCTCAGTCCCGTTAGCCAACATTCGCCGATGTTATGTATGATACGTATTTATATCACGCATTCCGAGAGCCAAGACAGCGAGAGTAGCGCAGCTGTACTGCTGATGGTTTTTGACAGCATTCAACAAATCACGAAGTGGACCAGCTGCAGGTCTCTGAGGCTTCTGAGCAGGCGGCTGCGGCGAACGCCACAAGCGAACTCAGTAACCAATGCAGCAGAACGGATCAACATTACCTGAACCCATGCCGACGTGAAAAAACAACGCAAATATTACAGCACTGTACCAAAATAGCACATAATATAGCATAGGTAAATCTTGGCAAAACTCAAACCTTGGCTTGGCTTGGCAAATCGGCCAGGCCGGTCAAATATCACGGTTCTAGGTCAACGGAAAACGGGTTACGTCGCCGCTGGGGCGAGAAGACCGCCAGAGACTTGGAATTGTGTATCTACACGATTGCAATCCACGGCTTTTGGCGAACAAACCAGATATCACTGGAAAGGGAGGACTGGCGCCGAATTTTTCAGTCTCGGCAGCGTGCTCACCTGCCGTGCTGCCACCACACAGGTACACGCTCACTAGTGGGCGGCGAGCGCTCACAAGTTCTGAATATCCTTCAGCGTCGTGTCCATCTCGACCTCGAGCCTTTTCTGCTGCTGACGACACTCCACCAGCTTATCTGCTCACCGAAGGAGCGGCAGACACGGCCAGCGACGTGCACAATTAGTGAACGGAAGAAAACCAAGGCCCGGCGGCCGGTAGAGCAAAAAGGAACAAAACGGCAGGCCGGGACAAAACCAAATGAGAGCCTGAGGTCAAGCACACCGGGCTAGCGGCAGCGGCACAGGCAAACCCGGTGCTGCCAGTCGCCACGCTGCTACAGGAGGTCCACGTCCTAGGCTAGATTCTCATCGACACTGCGTGGTGCCCAGGTCAGTTGCGACACACTCAACGCAAACCATGCAAGGTAACTGACAGTGCACCACGCGAACGTGCGAACACACGCGGCCGCGAGGCGGGACGGGGCTAGGGTGCGCAGAGCCGCCGTGGAGTGCTGCGTGCGTGCCGCACATGTCCCGCCTTGTGGCCGGCATCACGCAGTTACCTGCATCAATATGCTTTGGCGGCCGCTCTCAGTTTTTCAACGCACGCTGCTTGTAAAGACAAGGAGGGCGTGGCTGATATTCGCGTATGCGTATGGTCTGTGCAAAGTTGGCCAGTTTTGGAGCCCAGCCAGAGCGAGAATAGGGCATGTGCGTGTAATGTGGGGCATCTTTGGAGCCCAGCCCGAGCGAGAATAGGGCATGTGCGTGCAATGTGGGGCATCTTTGGAGCCCAGCCAGAGGGCGAGTATCAGGTATGGTGCGAGCGGCGTGGGGCAGTTGTGAAGCCCAGTCAGAGCCATTCTCGGGTACGCACGCGTGATGTGGGACGGCTGTGGAGCCTAGCCAGAGCGAGATTCAGTTATGGTGCGAGTGGCGTGGGGCGGGCGTGGAGCCGGAGCGAGTCTCGGGTATGGTGCGTGTAATCTGGAGCGACTTTAAAGCCCAGTCAGTACGAGTGCCGAGCATTTATACAGCCTAAACGAACGCCAGTAGGAACCGTGGCTGGGTGGGACGCACCTTCCAGTCTGTCCACCTCCTTCTGGAGCTTCTGCACGGAGCGTTCGGCAAACTCGGCGCGGGCTTCCGACTGCGGACATGGCCGGCCGCCAGTCAGACCAGCTGACGCCCATCCTGGCCCCACACTCGGGTCCGTGCAAGGCAAACTGCTTCTGGGTCGTTCGCACCACCAACACATGGGTCAGAGTTTTAAAAATCTTCACAATAAATGCGCCATCCAACAGACCTGGTCATCCGCAGCTGAGGTAAGCCAGCGCTAGACAGTTATCAATTGACGGTGGGTCAGCGGCTAGCGTCAGTTATCATCAGGGGGACAACCGAACTGGTTACCCTCACCATCTCGGTGCGCGCGTCACCAGCACAGCAGAGGCACCACTGACCTCTCTCCATCTCGCCTCGCTGTCACGCAGCTGCGTCTCGAACATCTCCTCCCGCTGAGAGGCCTGCGGAGGACACACGCCAGGCGCCACGGTCAGCGGCGTCAGGGGGCGAGCCAGGGCTGGCGACACGCGGTGGCCGAAGCACTGCTGGCGCACACTAGCAATACAGGCTTCAGTCCTGACGTCCCCCTCATTCTCCCCCTTCCAGCGGGACCTGCTGCGGCCGGAGACAGCAGAACGGCGGGGTGCATGCGAACATTCGGACAACACGGCACTGATTTAAGACAAGAACGGAGATATGGAACCGGCGCACCGGTTGCCGACACAGCGGTGCTAAGGGGGGGGGGGGGGGTAAAGAAACCAATGCCGGCGTCCCTGGCGGGCCAGACGCCTGACGTCGTCCTGCCCACGTCCCCCGGCGCGGCCGGCCACTGCCCACGGCCCGCTTCCGTTCTCACAGTAGGCGGGTCACCGTGTCCTCGCTCACAAGACTCATTACCTGTTGCATTCCATCTGTTATCATCTCGATCGGTTCCCTTACCCGCCCCTCCACACCGCTGGCCTACGGCAACACGCCGGCCTTGCTTTGCGGGCGCCAGCACGTGACGAGCACGACCCGACACTTCACCCACTCCGACTGAGAGGCACAGAGGCTACAGTGACGCGTGCCAATCAGATTATCGCCGGCAGTCCGCCCCCCACCCCTTGCAGGACAGTCGGCGCGGTTCCCGAACATTGTCCTGGCCACCGAGCTAAGTGGTGGGGGCGCTGCAGGCCCCGCTGGCCAGGCAACTGACTGTCCGGAGTCTCAACGAGCCGCTAAATGCACGCATAGAGCTGCCATAGCCGGCAGCTACCTTCAGCAGCGACAGGGAGGCCCTTAGTCACGCATCGTCAGACACCAGGCACAAGCCCCTTCAAGGCACGCGGCGAGACGTCTGGCGGCCGGGCGATACCGTATCGCACGCTTAATCGGACGCTTGTGGGAATAGGATTAGCGCGGGGCAGCGATACCGGTGAACAACACTCCGATAGTGAAGCAGTGACGGGGAGACACGGCAGTCGCGGCGCGGCGCGGTCCGCTCTGATGACGGCCGCCCGGCCACGCCCCTCACGGCAACCACGCCCACCCGCCGTTGGTTGCAGCATCCCGCACATAGTTGAATTACTGAATTGGCTACTACAAGGGGAACACCTACCAAACACGCCCAATGCCCATACATAAGTTTGTATGCATATTCAACATTCACTCAGGTATGCTTCATGCAATAATCACGAGCTCGCTATTAGCCATGACGACCAAAGCGTGAATAACGCCCCGAGTTTTCATACTTAATGGCTTAAAGACACCAACCATACCGGAATAGCTACAAAAGTTCGCCAGTTTTACGATTAATGTATGTCTGCCTTGTCACGTCATCACAAACCGGCGTGAGCCTGCATTCGCGGATAGCCGCCACTGGGCAAGGAAAGGCTATTACCTTCTCCTCGGAGACCTCGAGCGACTTCAGGTTGTTGCCCACTACGCGCAGCTCCTCCTCCAGCTCCACGATCTTGCTGCAGAGCAACGGGCACCCGTTACAGTACGCCCCGCGCTCGCGCACTGTCATTTGAGCAGTCAGGGACGGGCGCCACCATCCTCCGGCGGGACACAAGGGGCGACCACCATATACACAGCTGCATTTCAGCATCACATCAACGGAGCCAATAATCCACTGCAAAACAACGCGACACGATCGATGCCGATGTACGCATCGATACATACACAAGTCCATCACAACCATATCAACCAGCAGAGAATTCATCAAACGCTGGAACACGCTAGAGCGGCGAGTTTTCTAGCACGGAATCGCGGTCGCCACCGCCTGATCAAACAGACGCATGCAAACATTACACGTCACGCGCGACGGCCCGGCCGGGCGTGCCTGTTCACAACTGCGGCGCGCCGCTAGCGAGTGCGGGGGAGGGGAGGGAGCACGTGCGGCCTACTACTCACGACTCGCCCGTCTCGGCCCGCTCCTCAGCCCGTTCCAGGTCGTTCTCCAGCATCACCACCTTGCGTGCCACCTGGCGGCGACCCCCGCAGACGGGTCGTGTCAGGCAGAAGCGGACGACCAGACGGGCGACGGCCGAGCGTCACACGCAAACCACGCGCCATGCACCAAAAACAAACGGCTAACACCACTACGAAAGAACATGGCGGCGACAACATGCCATCGACAGCGGCTGGCGGAACCTCCTGTGGAAAGGCCGCGCGCACACGCACACACACACACAAACACAGACACGCCCATGGTGAGCCGGCGGCTACGGGCAGGCCATGCACAGCCACTCACGATTCGCCCGTCTCGGCGCGATCCTCAGCCCGCTCCAGGTCTGCCTCAACCATAGCCAGCTTACGGGCCACCTGCGATTGCCGCGCCCCACCCCCCCGTCAGAAGGACGTAGGTCGAAGCCGGGGACGGCCAGCACGGTCAGACACGGGGCCAGAGTCACGAGCCGGGGCGCCCACAAACCCGGCGCAGCGGGGACAACACGGGCGTGGGGCGGCGTCGCCAACTCTCGCTCCCGACAACCAAACGGAGAACAGAGCAGCGCAGAGAAGAAAACCGCAGAACAAGGTTCTCGTCGCTGTTGACACGCTCATGGCCGAGACAGGGACTGGACAGCCACCGTTTGCGTCACGTCGGCGCGTCACGTCCTCCAACAGCGATCACACGGCACACACCACATGCAGCGGTTTGTCGCAGGCTACTCAGCTAGGTACCACACCCATCTATGGTTAGCACGCACTGAACGGATAAAACACAGGTGAGTGCGCACGCGGCACACGCACGCACGCATGGGACGTGTTAAAGCACGCGATACGCGTTACTCCAATTCTGTCGCCATGAATACAGCAGAAGCATCCAATCCACCATTGTTAGATTTCGCAGCCGCGAAATGGACACAGAATCTGCGTTACGGTGCGCATAATTCCGACACAGATTCGCACAAACACTGCGGTGTCTGATGACTTCAATTGCAGTTCTGAGTACATATGGCTTGATTCCATTACACATTTTTATGGAATTCGGTCCGCTGAAGGCAGCTTATGAGATGGTCAGCTCCGGCCTTCATAAAGGCCTACAGGGACATGGATTTTGATAACCAGACAGCAATAGTGGGCGTCCCACAATTTGGACCAATACAAACCAGCGCAATGCAAAAACAGGCAACTACTTACGTATCTATTGGGGCCAATCACCAACATTTCAAGGCAAGATGCTTCAATCGGGTCAGACTCCGACTAGAAAACATAACCAATGCACGGATTCCATCCTGATTCAACGCAACCTCGACTACTGCAATTCATTTCGCTTTCATCCGAGGTCAAGTAGAAGTCTGGACGCATGGCACACCGGCACACCTGCTCGCGCGTCCCTGCACCGGGTGCGGCGGGCGCGGGCTCCGGACCACAGCGTGGTTGCGGTTAGTGCCGGGGGAGCGCGACACGGTCAGTGGCGTAAACCACACGGCGTCACCTCGTATTTCCGGTCGGCCTCCTGGGCCAGCGAGCAGGCCTGCTCCAGCCGGCTTTCCAGGGCGTCCCTGCGCCCCTCGTCCGAGACAGCGGCTCGCCAGCACTCCGCGCACGCTGCGCCAGTGCCACAGGTCACCGATCAGAGCGGGTTGCAGGCATCACAGGCGACCGCTCATGGGACGGTGGGGAGGAGGATATGGGGAGGGGGGGGGGGGGGGGCTCGCCGCCGACGGAGCTGGCAGCGCCGAACGGCAGCCGCCCGCCCGGCCGGCCGACGTCTGTGGGAAACGGCGGGGGCGGGCGGACAGGCGGAGGGGAGCGCACAGCTGGCGTGGGGAGACAGGTGACGAGCAGCACGTCCGCCGGCGTGACGAGTCGCCGGCCTCGCACAGCGCGCCGTCCTACCTCCTCGTATTTCTTGTCGGCCTCCTCGGCGATCAGCTTGGCCTGGGCCAGCTGCGCCTCCAGGATCGCCACCCGGTCCTCCTCCGTGTTCGTCCGGTTTTCTAGCGCCTTGCGCTGCCTGGCAGGGTTACACAGCGTACGCCACGGCGTTAGCACGGGGGCGCGCTGTTATGAGGACCAGATGCAAGGCAACCAACCCTTCAGCTCATCTTCGTCAGGGACGTTTCAGCAAATGATACAAGTGAACACGCATATGTGCAAGATATAGGAGAACAACTAACAAACTTCTAAGTGGAAATGCATGTTATATGGTTAATCTGCATCGCCTCAACTAAATAGGGGCTGAAACGCAATGGCGCATCCTATGTTTGGTACCGGCTACAAAGACAACAGCCACGCATGTCAGACGGCCACGAGACCGTTTAAGGGTTGCAGTGACGTCAGCGCAACCTGCGACGTCGTCGCCCGTACAACTGATATAACATAACGACGCCAAGACTGGGTTGACCGGAGCTATCAGGAGGCCGCTGATTTTACAAATTTAGTAAGCAGATCCTAAAACATCATGAGGCGTTGCTACTACGCCCACCCCCTCAGTCTGCCGCCGATGGAGTAAAAAAAAAAATGGCGGTACGAAGCTATTGCAGTGTAATACGATTAATTGTTACTCATGTTCAGCCAGTCAGAATGACCTTCGGTAATTCTATCATGTGTTATTATGAGATTTGCACTGGAATCTAGGAAACGATTATTACCACCCACTAGTAACATTCACTCGAGCACTGTTGAAGAAGTAAATCTGGTCTCGCCGCATTCACCAAGCATGTAATTCTCAAATGCCTGGACGGTAGGATAGGGTCCCAATTGGTGCCAAATCTGAAATGCTCGAAACATAGCATAAACGGCGAAACGGGGTGAAATAGATGGTTTATCGCAAGGGCTATCAAAAAGCAGGAGCTTTTCACTTCAGATGCGATTTTATTTCATCATAACAGGTCCATCCGTTATTTCACGTTTGCGGCAACGTATCATTTGGCCCCATGGGACCAAATACACAAACGTACAATGACGAATCGGCACACGATGGCGAAAAAAAAGTTCGAGTAAGCCTCACTGGCCGTTTTAATAGACCTGACAGCAAACGATAGGTTTGCCCCCCCCCCCCCCCGCCCCCCGTCTGTCCTACTGTCCAGGCATTTTAAAAAGGCCGCCTGTGAAATCTAGCGTGACCACACTGGGTACCAGCCGAATAAAAGCTCAGCATGAACAGGCGCACTGTGTACCAAATTTTGCGGTCCTGGCCCAAACTGTTATCGCCACATCACACGAAACGTGGGAGGATTGGTCATACCACGTGCTGCGCTCACCGCACGCGGCCAGCCCCACACGGGGCGGACATGTGTACCAATATGGCCGCGTGCCCCAGTCTGATCCGGGGTCAAAGCCCAATGTACAAGCGCAAAGATGAGTCCGTGGAGGACCACCGGAACAGCGTGGGATTATTCTGTTAATGCATCGTCGATGCTAGGCCAGTAAACTTGGTATACTCTTGGAACTTGGCTTTTTGCACTGAGCATATCGGAGAGTTTGTAAGAAGTTACATTTTGGGCGACTGTATTCAAAGTTTGACAAAAAAACGCAAACATTCGGAATGACTATTAGTAAGTGAATTTGTCTGTTTGCCTGTCATTTTCATCGCAACCAAAAAACCGAAAAATAGAATCACGAAAAAAGTTTTTTTTTTGGGGCGGGGCGGCAGACGTCTAAGGATACAATTTTGGAGTAGACATATTAGACATACGTTCAGGTTTCACATGTAATATGATAACGGTGAGCGTGGCGCACGTTTACACATACCTCACATATCATAAACATACCACACGACATAGGCCGATCACGCAAGAAACCGTACACACGTGAACTTCTGGTCCTAGGTAGGGGTTCGATCATACCTGTACTTCTGCGGTCTGATATTTCTGCACCCAACACAGTGGGAGCGTACCAAGAAACTAAAATTGGCCCAATGAAGAGACGAAACCGCAGATAGAGATCGCATGGATTTTTACCGCCTCACCCAGGATAGCTACCCGATTCCCGCTGGGTGCCTGCAGGGCAGAGGGAGAACCTACCGCTCCGACTCGTCGGCCGAATGGGACGCCTCGGCCAGCTTGGTGGTGGCGGTGGCCAGCCGCTCCTCGGAGCGCTCCAGGTCCTCCTCCAGCAGCTGGATACGGCGGCCCAGAGCCGAGACCTCGCCCTCAGACTGCGGCACACCCGGTCACGCCGGCCCTCCGTCATGCGGTCATGAGAGGAGAGCAGCAAACGGCGGCAGGGCCGACCCCGGCGCTCGGCCGGGGACAGAAGCCGTCACGCTGACCCCTCCTCGGACGGCACGGCCACCGGCGGTGCACTGTCCCAGAGCTGACATCCCGCCCATGGCCGACGACCACGCCCGTCTCCGTCAGACCACACCGATCCAGGCAGCCCGGCGGTCACTTTTATCGAGTCAGTAAAGGTCTGGGCACCAAAACAGACATGTCACGGGCACGATTGCCGTGCACGCCAGACGTCGAGGATAACGTGGCGCCTGCCCCCGTCAACACGTCCATCTCCCCGAGCAACAGTGTCGTGGAGTCTCAGCGCGCCGTGCAAGGATACAAACGGAGAGAAGTCCCCGCGGCGACCCCGCGGGACGGGGACGGACCGACGCAGGGACTGGCCGTCACCTGTACTACCTCGCAATCGGTAATACAGGTGCCGGCGTGTCGGTGTGTAACGCTCCGTCGCATGACACCACCCCCCGGCCGCCAGCGGTCGGTGACAGACGGCTGTGCAGCGCCCGCGGCGCAGGCCGACCCATGACGTCATGTCTCCCAGCAGCCCCGTTCATGCATGCAAACATCCGGAAGCTGCCTGTGGCCACAAACAAAACTTGCAAAGTAGGGCGAACCTTGTTCCCAGGAAATTCCCTATGGGGTGGAGCGGGTTTTCGAATCTGCGTGGCACGGCCGGGCAGATTTTCAAACTTGCGGGAAGTGGTGGCCACAGGGCGATAATTAACACATGACATGCGGTGCGGTAGGTGGATTCAAGCTCAGCCCGTTCCTTAGCATTTCCAGACTGGAGAGTATAACTGGGCTGTGGTGAGTTGACGCCGGCTGCTGTAGAACGTTGGCATCCTAGTGCTATTTGAACTTAATACATGCAAAATGGTTTTTAGTCTGTTTTTCATTTGCTATGGAAGCAATATCTTTCTTTCTTTTACTTTCTAGCAATATTCCATATATCAGGAGATACTGAATGCCATCAAATCAGCATTTGTCTGTACCGGCGAAATTCAGCGTGGACGTCACGAGACTGAGCACGGCTTGAAAAGGCGACTTTTGCCCCATGGTTGCTTGATGACGCTGTTTTACAAATGCACGCTGGTATAATGAAGGCTGATTATTGTCAGATAACAGCGTTTAAGTCATAATCTATTGATTTCTCGGACGATTTTTTTGTCAACAGCATAGGACAAGGTTTACCTAACATTTTGTGACATCCTCTAGCGGTAAACGGCTAGTTCGTTGGAAAGAGACGATCTGTATTCTTGCCACAACACATTTCCACAAAAGTCGCCTGGCAAGGGCATGATCAATGTTTGATTCCTCGGTCCCGATGAGTTTTCTCGGTAAGGCTGGCTCGCGCCGCCGCCGCCGCCGCCGATGACCCACAAACAGACCACTTCTGAGGGCGGTTGCCCTCCGGTCGGTTACCATTTTCACAACTGCACCAGGGAATCAACCTTGGCCATAGCGTGAGGAAGGCTTTGAGATAATCAGAGCAACAGCTTCTGAGATCAGAGTATTCTAGTTTTGCACGTCGAATTTCTGGCATGGTTTTGAAGGTAAATGACCGAAGATTAGGAAACCATATTACCCCCCCCCCCCCCCCTCCACACAAGCGCCTTTATTTTATGTTTAACTGATAAGTGGAGTTCTAAGACTGATGAGACCAATTTTCAAAAAGGTGAATTAGTTTAGGTCATTTTTATCACTGCCAGTTTGTACTGCCAGCCTCCATTTTTGCTATCTTATCAAAAGCTCAATGGTTAACTTGCATGACCAAACATAATCCCTGCCCTTTTGATCTCACATGTTCACTGAGCTCACATCTGAACTCAAACATAATGAGTGGTGCCTCACACATGTCACTGAGTGACATAACACCTGGAAAGTCTTCAGGTGGCAGTTGATGCAAAAAAATATTGCATGCATGATGCTCTGATGTAACTTAACATCCCAAGCGGAAGGCAACAGATGGGTACCTGGGGGGGGTCTGATGTGAGGGAGTTGTACAGCACCGTCATGTAGCGACCTACACTGTTGATCACCAGGGTTAGGTGGGGTTGCTGCAGGGACTTCCCTCCATTTGTATTGTTGTATGTATGTATGTATCCTTGTGTATCCACCTGTCTAAATAAGACATCTCTTTATACAACATAATGCCACCAACAATCAGAAAACAGTAAGATCATGTCATCTTGCCCTTGAAAGAAAACAATTCAATCTAACACTGATGGTACAGAACATGTGACACAGGTGGCTTTCATAGAATGCAAGAGCAGCAAAAGATGAAGCTGATTGTCAACTAACTGATAAGTCAGCTGAGCATAGGGTGGAAGTCCCATTGGGTTGAGTCCCAAAACAGATAAGGTTAGGCTAAATGTGGGTAAAACCCAGGAAAATATTCAACCCAATCATAAGACCAACCTTGTTAAGTAAAGCAGTGTTGGAAAACTTGACTTTTCCTGGTATAATGCATACCAGGAGATTTTGTACTCCAAGTTTGTGACTACGCAAAATGAAATATTTTGTACTCATCGTCATGATGCAACAAGAACAGCTTTTGGAAAAATTCAGTCTTCTTCTTTGTGTCAGGACTAAACAAAACCAGAAGGTGCAACAGCTTGAGACTTGCTGCTTCCATCAGGAGCCATGTATTGATATTTGCAAGAGCACAAATCATGCATCCACCAGACCAAGATGCCCAATAGCAAGCAGCATGTGTTGCCACCTAGGTATATGATAAACCATGTACGGAAATGTGAAAAAGTGTGTGAATGCTGAATGGAATCGCCTTTGAACAATACTGGGAAATGAGAAACAAGTACCTCAACCACACCAGTCTTTAGATTAGCAAAACTCTCCCTTTGTATGCCCTATGCAGACCAACTCAAACTTGAACATGACTTTACCTACTATTGACAACAAACCGCATTAATTGCCAAGAATGCAACAAACAGTCATAGAAAACCACACGCAATCACCTACCACAGATGGCCACCTACCCATGCGCCACCACTATGTCATGGCGATGGAAATAAGAGAACCACTGGCAATTCAGCATAGGAAACGTCTCGACTGTTCAGCGGCTTGCGCCCGCCTCCAGCTCCAGTTGGAGGTTGGACATAGCAAAACTCTCCAATTGGCCTTAATTATTTGCCTCCTCGTGACTGATTTGTCAAGAGCATAAATATTCTGCTCGTGCTCATGTCTTGAACAGATTTGTAAACATTTGGAGGGAAGCTGTATACAGGTGGGCATCACAATTATGGACTTCTTCATACTCATCCAGAACCGCCATGTGGTTGGATATTCGGCCACTTCCTGGCATCTGGAGTACAAAAATAGTACAGCAGCTGTGGATTTAAACCAAGTTAAATTTGTCACTTAAGGGTGAGAATTTAGAGCTGGTAATCCAATTTTTACAAAAATACCCTTTCAAGTCTAAAGACGCTGCTACCAATAGCCAAAAAACAGATAGGAAACAGCCATCTCACTCCAGCAAAACACCAGGACACCAGAGCAACATAAGCCCATAACTTTGGCCCAGCGAATTACGGAGAAGGGTTTATTAGCATGAAAAACATCAATAAACTGCAACATAAATAATCACATTTCACAATGATATTGGTCAAGGCACATCAAAATCCATTAATACATTGCATTATCAGCTGGAGTCAGTTGGGTGACTGACACCGATTCCTTTTGGCCAGCCTGCATGGGTCTTTAAGGCATTGCACTCGTGCTGGCTCTGTAGATTGGGAGTGCTGCCTGTCTCTATTGTTCAGTTGGGACATGTGGGGCCTGGTGTGTTGAATGGGAGTGGGGGGGGGGGGAGGGTATGAGTGTTCAACTGCTTTTAAGGCCAGTTAGCTGGTAGAGCGTGGGCAGCATGACTGTGGTGGAGCGTGAGTTGTGTCATCGTGGCGGAGCATGAGTAGGTGGCCCTGTGCGGTATGTTAATTTGCATTTTTTTCTGTCTTTGTCTGGCCATGTGTATCATACTCACCCTCCATTTTGGAGGGTGTTTAGGCCACATGTAGCTGCCCTCCATTTTGGAGGGTGTATATGCAGAGCCTTTCACAAATTGCAGACCAATATATATGCACATGTGTTTCATAGAAGAGAATATGAGACTGTTGTTTTAGCATGCCATGTTTAATAATGATGCTTCCTTTCATTTAAAATGTTTTTACATGAATTGCTGGACATGAAGAGTGGCACTTTTGTTGAGAACCACCTCTTGTACTGTTATCTCTAAGACTACCTGAATAAAGTGTAATGACCCACAGCACTTGGATAATTTTGTACTACACTATAGAAAGTTTGTACTCTGCTACCAGGAAAATTTTGGGAATTTCAACACTAGTAAAGTCAAATGAACCTGGCATTTTTCTTGAGGAATTTGTTCTACTCAAACACATACTCCCATGGTGTGCATTATCACTATTGTGCATGGTGTTGCTACTATGACATCTTGTTAATGGATGTGTGGCATGTCAGACTTTCTTTTTGTCAGAATTGGTCTACAATACCTTGGAAACATGAGGCATGCTATGCTGCCACTAGTATATTGTATGGATCATAAAAAGCAGAAGCATCACAGGTGCACACTTAAATCCTGACCTAATTAATTCAAAGCATAGTTTGGATATGTAACCCTCAATCATGACCCAACAGGCAGAAGTTGGACTGCCTGTACTCAATCTAATAAGGACTGGATCGCCTTAGTCTCCCTGTATGAGTCTTAGACATTGATGTCTCCAACCAGCTTTGGGCACCTGTAATTCATGCAATATTCCTTAAACTATGATGACATTTTCAACCCATTATTGCAAAAGGGAGCACAATTATGCACCACTTTTAATGCCCATTAAATTGGTCAGCATCATATCACAAAAAACTTTTGCTGATGAAGAATCCAAAATACATGTAATACCTTTTTCAGTCAGATGTGGCTTAAATAAAACATCCTATTGATAAAATGTCTAGCTATGACCAAATTGCATAACCTGGACTGCACACCACTCTATCAAATCTAAGCTTCATTTTGTGGACAACAAAAGTAGGATGCTTGCCTTATATATTGGTTAGACCTTATTTGAAACCATATGCTGTACATGTCATTTTTTCTTGAGGGACAGGGGACAGGTCTCAGGTGACAACTTTCCTCTGGCGATACATAATTACCACTGTCCATCACAACCCATGCATAACACCGCACATTTGAATGAGATGACAGGGTGGATGCAAATGACGTTCGATAAACATAGATAAAAAAGACGCCGTGAAATGTCGCAGCATTAACCTACTTCTTCCCGGCGCCTGATTTCTTCGTTTACTTGGTGTCTCAACTCATCACATTCATCCCGTTTCTTTTCTAACTCATCCCTAGTCTGAGTCATTTTCTTCTTCAAAACTTCCAGCAGCGTAGCTCCCTGTCCGGCAGACATGATGTCCCGGGCTTGTGACACTCCACTTCGCACAATTTAACTCCGTAACCCCACGCGCCGGACACCACCCTGCCAATATGGTCGCCAATCGGTCACCAGTTTTCGCCACCACACTACAACCGTAGCGCAACCGAAGTAGTGCGCAAAAAAACAGTTGGATTTACCGACCCAAAGCCGATAAGCAACATAGCAATTGCTCATGTATTGAGTGTAATGTCATTTATTTTTAGCTTCTGCAAATAGGTTAAGGCCAACAAATAAACATAATTGATAATTATGACTTAAATAGGTCATGAGCATGGCTTGATTCATCGGTCTTAATAGCAGAGGTATGGTTTCCTTTCCACATTTTCAGTGAACATTGTTTCATTCTGAAGGTCTGGTTCATTTATACCCCAGCACGCGTCTTCCTTTACAGAAAGTACATGCACGACACAAGAATATTATTAGTTAATGGCCGCGGTGATCGCAAACGGGTAAAGCGAGCGTTAGTAGGTAGATCTCAGTATTATACTATAAGTAAACTAGCTTTGCGATTAGCAGTTAGCATCTCCTCAACTTCTACCGCGAATTTGGTAGCCTACATTTGCAGGCAGTATGGCGCAGACGTTTCGATAGTGAATGTATTTTCGTTACGCGTTTTTAAGACACTGATTTCGACGCATTTTGATCTGTGTGCTACGCTCGCCGGGAACGCACTTGAGGGCATACGTGTGAGCGAGGAACGCGTGTTTGAGAACGAGTGCTGCGTGGAGGTAAGCCCGATGTAAAAAAGGTTTCACGTACTGTAAAGGAACTGAGTCTTAAGGTGATTCAGTTGAACTTGTTTGGGGTCTTGAATGCTGACCGCCGATCTTCGGCAAGCACTGCATCGAGGGTACCGCAACTGACCACCTTTTTGCACCCATACCGTCCCATTTATCCCACCTGATTCTGACCATCATGAACCTAGCATAGACCTGTTGTATTGGAGATGGCTGATGCACTTCATTTGATGTAGAACATAATCACTTGTCTCTGTAGTCATAATTTTGAATTGGAACAGGTCAGTGGGGACAAGGTGTCATATTGTGAGCACAACTCAACAAAAGTTGATAATGTGTGCCCAGCCAGTTCTGGTGCAGCTCACAAGATGTGATATGCTCAGAACAAGCCAAATTACTAGCACATCACCTGAATGTGAAGCAACAAGGTTGATGTGCCTGGTTCATTCATAAGCCAAAGTGCTATATATATATATATATATATATATATATATATATATATATATATATATATATATATATTTGGATTTGTAATTGATGTATACATATTTGGCATATGTATACATCCATGAATTTGTTGCATTATCTATGGATACAAAAAATACCTGAATGAATAGATTTGATTTGTTATTGCATGCTATGTTAAGAAAAGTCCTAATATGTACCACTTCAGTGTACAGTAAGTACCCAACATGAACAATAATATGTTATTTGCACATGCAGTGTTCCATGAAAGTTTTTTTCTCAGGCACACAGTTTGTTCATAAGCCAGACCCTAACTCATGTAACATCATCCTTGTTCTGTGTAATCAAAATTATGCAGTCACATTCCTCAATGTATATATAAGAATCTCTATCAATCTGAACTCAGGGTTTAGTGACATCACACTGACACCGCTTATCTGAAACCCCACTCCTAGAGTGAGCACTGTTTATGATTTTGGTCATAAGCTGTGATCAAGTTTTTGATGATGTTAGGCTCTGCTTGTGTTGAGCTGCCATTCTTTCATAACATTGCTGGTATTATTGCTGCACACCTGTATTGTGTTGCATTCTAATCACTGTACTTATTGCTCTGCAATAAAATAGCAGAAAGAAGCAATTGTTTGTTTTTATGTCATGTGGTCTTAGCAATTTTTCAGTATGGCATTTTACAATTACTTGATATTTGATATTTGCAATTTTAGTCAGCAGTGAAATATGTTATGTTCCAGGATTCATCAGTGGTTGATGCATTGAAGATCAAGAACACTACTATGGCTCCAGGGAGATTTAAATTTGCAGAAGGTATGTGTGCAAGTGATGTCAACCCAATTCACAGTTAACATTTTGTATTCTTGAACACCAGACTAAGTATATTTCATCAAAAACCTTGCTTCTTGATAGTAAACTTTCTGGCTTCTATTAGGCTGTTGACAATTGCACCCAAGGCTATTTTTACTTTTTAGACACATTAGGGATATGCTCATGATCAAAGCATTCATTGTATTAATAATTTTGTAGTGTTCTATTTTAGACACAAAAAGGATGAATATAACCTGAATAACCAGGCAAGATCTTCCAGTCTCTTTTGGGTCTTCTGGAGTGTAACAACTCAAAACACCCAAGGTTAAGCATTCCAGAAAGAAGCTGAAATCTATGGTTTAATGATGCAGTATGTCATGAATTTGGTATCATGTATGCATATGTATGAATGCATTATTGTTTGACTTGGAAATTCATCCTATTCTTAGGATGATTGCCTGAAAGCCATGAGGCCACAATGTATATTGTGTAAATTGTTTTATTCTTTAGATGATAACTTCAATTTAACAATACCTACCACTCTTAGTGTGCTGTTTCTTTGGCCCGATCATTGGCATGCTGGATTGTCATTTCTAGGCACTGTAAGGTTTTTCTGTGTATCATGTTGCATTTGGCTATTCTTAGTGTTGTTTTTCAGGGGAAAGAGTCTTATGCTTCCATGGACCACTGATATATGAGGCAAAGTGTGTCAAGACAAGAGTCAAGGACCAGAAAAATCAGTATTTGGTGCATTATGCAGGTTGGAACAAGAAGTGAGTACAGCATTTTCACTATATCTAATGGTTTGTTTTCCATTAACCCACAAGGGGGGCGAAGTTGGCCTCCCTGCCTGCGTTTTTGAGCACAGGTAAAAAGCAAAGTGCTGGCAGCAACATGAGCCTGTCTGATGGGAGTACTAGCTTGATGAGACCTTCAGAACAGTATATTTGTTATCTCATATGGCATATAGAGGTTGGAGATCCCAGGAGGAAGTCAACTTCCGTCCCCCTCCCCCACCGCCTGGGCATAGGTTAAGTGTCACCCGCACGTAAGAATGCCAAAAATGTATTGTGTAGTGTGCATCCATTCCTAGGTTTAGTTCCATCCATGCGATGAATAGCCTGACCATTTATCCGGCGGTATAGCTGCTGTGCACACCCGAAAGCCCTTCTCCTGGCCCTGCTCGCTGATCGTGCCGCGGGGATCCAGCAGAGAGTCGTGATGAGGACCGTTTCATACCGAGGCGACCGGTGTGACAGAGGCGGCCCGCACCAGCTCCGTTACCAACTTGAACGCCACTAACTGCACCGATGTTGTTAATTGGCCGTAAGAGGTGATAGCAAAGTCCGTGTCGCGCAACATCACAGAATCGTAGACTGCTAGTCACACGCTTCCCTCGTATCCAGCGCAGAGAGTACACATAGAAGCCGTAGAGCGAGGAGTGCAGCTCTTCATGCGGATGGCGGCTGCTCTGGTGTGAACGGAAACACGCCATGAGTACGCATGCGCGAGAAAATGCGACAACCGAGAGAGCGTGCCCTTGCGTGAGTTAAAGCAGGATTTAGTTTTTGATAAAGGTGTTTCTGTTTTGAAGTGCGCACGACTTTTTACCGTTTTTTCGGCGTTGAGGTTATTGGCCTTGTCTTGTAACTTCTCCGAAACGACATGATCGCCGCTTTAAATCCAATTGCGGGTGCTTAGTATCGACCTAAACTCACGTTGAGCGGTTACTTCGTTTTCAAACATTATCGTCCTCGGGGGAGTCTGGTTGTGGTTGACACGGACACATCACGGCTCCTGGAGTGGTTGCGGAGACTGCCCATTCTATGGTAATGTCCATGCCGAACCACTGACATCAGCTGCTAATGTGTTGAAGGAAAGGCAGCCGGTTTTATTTTTAGTGTGTTTTTTCATATCCGCCTATGTGGCTCAAACTCTTGTATATTTTATTATATAATTTGGATTAATTATATATTTATGTATTATATTTTTTATTCTACCTATATTTGTTTATTAAATTATATTGTATCTTAGTTTTCTCTTTGTATATTTTGTTTCCCGTCTAAATAACTTGAAACGTCTGCCAGGCGGTGGGTTTAGATAAACAGAAGTTATTGGAGAGACAGACTAAGCTGATGCTGCAACAATGAAATTGAAGTGCGTTTAAGAAACTTCGGACGGACGCTTCCCATTATGATTCCAAAAATGAAAAAACGCAATGATTTTGTAATGATATAGAGCCCACTAATGTAGCTATTCATCTCAAGCGTTTTTTGCGACCCGACACAATGTGTATGCATGCTGCAATGCGTTTCCCGAAATACTGAAACGCCACCCTGTCGATAAGTTTGGAACGAGAACCATGAGGACATACACCAGCGGACGGAAAGAAGCACAATGGAGTGGACATGTGTACATACGAAACAAATCTCGTGCCTAACACTGAATGTTGTCAGCTGATAAGATCTATATTTCAGTGCAAATGTGATATGATATGAACGTGCTCGTTTCGTTTTCATCAGGACTGGATCATTGTGTTCGTTTGCTTTCAGTTGGGACGAGTTTGTGCCAGAAAACAGAATTCTGAAGTACAGTGAGCCGAATCTTCAGAAGCAGAAGGAGCTGAAGGAGGCTCATTAGTACGTACCATATTATAGCTTGCTTTGATCCATGACTTCGCATAGATATATATTGTGTTGCTTTAGCCACAATTATCTCCACATTCACAACTTCTTGTGTAGCAGTTCCAAGCCTGAACTAGTTGAAGCTACCTTTGGTTGGAACCGGTATACGTGAAGGTCCAGGTCCAAACACAAAACGTTTTCCGCAGGGTGTGCGTCAAGCGCGCATTCCGCTCGCAACCGTGCGCTTGTGGCGATGTACAATATTGCTCTATGACGTCTGATTTCAACCTGGTGATAGAGAGGGGAGGGGCGGTGTCTTCTCAGACGGCTATACACGTGCCATGTGATAGCTTCCTCTGGCAGCAGTACCTGCGACTGCGTGTTTAGGATGGCCTTCTGCCATCGTCACATTGGACCTGATGAACAGGGTTATCTTCACT